TGGAAATTGGTCAGTTGAACAAATATTACTTATTGTCTGTTTCCTAAGATAATCTTTGAGAGATTAAAGATCATTTACAATGTTTAAAATTGGAATATTTACAAAAAAATGCTTAATATTTCAACAAATATATATAACAACTTGTTTTTTAATTAAATATTTATTTTCAAAGTATATAAAAATAAATGCATAAATAAAAATTATTAATAAAAAAATGAATAAAATTAGATTAAATAATAATTATTTTTATAATATATAGTATAATTTTCAATTTCATCAATTTCCACAATAGATAAAGCATCGATTAAAATCACGTGGTTGATTTCACTTTTCAGATCTTCGCTTGGCTGGAGTTAAATTTGGAATCAAAATCAACCATATGAAAATTGAGACTTTGACAAAAGTAATTAAACTTTTGTCAAATTAACTTACAACTGGCTGCTCTTTATAAGCAGCAGTCCCGTATGTACGCATACCTTCTCGGTATTTTTGCTTCGTTTGGAGTCGGTTATCTCACTTGTCACTATAATCTGGTGACAAAACTATACGAGGCTTGTAACGATATTCCCTCCACCACACACAAGGTATATTTAGATCACGAGTGTTCAGGCTTTTTGTCTTGAAGGTTAAAAGTTTTCCGATCTGTAGAAGTTTGCATTATTTATTGTATATAATTAGAGTTTTCGACATCGAAGTGTTGCTTTGTCGGTTGATTTACGACATAATTGAGACTGATTGTTATTTTTTCTTTAATTTTACAGCGTCACCTTCTTTACGTGTTTTTTGGCCTAAGTCTTCTTTTCTTGATCATTCTGGTTCCACTTTATCGAATCGCAGACTACGAATCAAAAAGTGTGAGCATTTTAAAATTTATAATTAATTTACGATGATATTTTTTCTCATTGGCTTTTTCATTCGAATTAGAGCAACAGATATCCATATAGAACTTCTGCGAGGGAACATTTGCAGAGACGAGGCAGCTTTAGCTAAAAAAATTAGGTTTATCAATTCAGGACCTCATTTTTATAAAAGGCAGTGATTCAATATTAGTATTTGCCAGAGGTTCTAGTCATTCCTTTGGGATAGAAAATTTGCGCGAATATAGGTGTGGTTATATGGAACTTAACTCTATATTATAGATGTTTACAAAATGATAGAATTTATACATAAAACAGAAAATAAAAAAAATGTGAAAAGTTTGGATTCAATTAACTTTATTTGAACAATGAGGAAATTTTACATTATATAATCATTAGCTACAAAGATAAAATTTAATTTATTATATTTCTTCTCTACACAACCAGTTATTTCAGTTATTTGTTAGACATCTGATTTAATTTTATAATTATATACTTCTGATATTTATAAATTTTATTTATTTATAAAGTTTGAAATTATTAAATTATTTAATTTATTATTAAAATCATTGTTCATTTAAAATAAGTTTGATCAATTAATACAATCAATCCTTTTTTTATTATAGATATTTAAAGTTAATTATATAATCTTTGAATTTCATTTTTTTTAATTAATAAATAATTATAGAAATTTAAATAAAATTATTATTAATATAGTTAAATTTAAAACTTTTAGTAAATTGATTTATTTGATTTTTTAAAAAGCATTACGTTTTTAAATTAAAATAACAAAATACGACATTTAAACTATATAATACAAAGTTGTATTTTAACTAGAAAAACTCTGTTAATTAATTATCTATAATAATATTTTAATAAGATAATAAATAAATATTCAAAATTAATTTTTGAATTAGTTTTATTTATATAATTAAATTATTAATAAATTTTTGTTTAAATTATTTAAGAATTAATTTTGTAAATATTATATAATTATAATTAGTAAATTTTGAATTATGACTAATTATAATTTAGCAAAAAACTAATAATAAATAAGTATTATATAATTGCCAGTTAATTTTCGTTCTCCATTAATTCAGGATTCAAAAATTTTAAAACCTTGACAAAGAAACAAAGCTTATGGAATTATTAGAAAGAATGCTTTGGAATATAGTGTAATAATTAAAAGCCCCCGAGAAGAGTTAGATATTTTTTAATATATATAAAAATTCTATTTATCATTCAGATAATAAAAAATTTTAATATGAAAAAAGCCTGCAAGCTGAAATAAGAAAATAACTCTGTATTTAAATAAAAAATTATTATTATTTTATTTTTTGAAATTACATTATTTATAATTTCTTATTGTATATTTTAGCAATTCACAAATCGATATGAATCAAGTTATTTATGTAATATAATTATGGTATTGTATAAAAAAAGAAATTTTCTGATTAACGTTGCGATAATCTATTATCCACTAAAAATTCGGGCACTTACATGAACTCTGTGATTATAAGGAGATCGTTTTATTAAAATGTGACTTATATTCTATGGAATTTGTGATTATAGGGAGAGTGACTATAAAGAGTTCTCAATTATTTCTTTCGATTTTATATTTATGTCAAAGGAAATGAACACGCCTGGAGCAGTAGTTAAAATATTTTGGCCAGTTCACGTTTGTTCACCTCAAACATTACCGGGATTTCTCGTGGGATGGAATGTGAGAAATTTTACAGTTTGTGTTGCCGCTGTTATTTCAGATGTAAAGGTAATTTTAATTTTACTTTTAACTGTAAAGTCTGAGATTTTTATCATTAAATTAGTATTTTTATCATTAAATTATTTTTTTTTAGCTCAGAGATCTGGAGGCTACATTGTCTGCTTTATCTACAGATAATCGTTCTTCTTTTGTTTATATGAGTGACGTTTGTGGTGCACCTCCAATTGTCTTAGGGGTATTGACAGTAGATTCTAACGATGTTGATACCGAAAACATTCTTCATGCTGAAGGTAATCCACAATTGAAATCATAATATAATATAAAAAATTCACTTATCTAAAAATTATAATTAACTTAATATTCTTTAAGGAGTCTCGGAGAAAAATAAGATAGCTAATTTATGGATGACTATAAATCTGCAACACAACAACATGCCCTCACTCAGGTGTGAATTTCTACACGTGAGACTCCCATAATATGTGGGCTATTGTACATTTCGTTAATATATCTTCGTGCCGTAAAGATCCATTGATTGCTGCGGCTTTCGCTATTCAGGTGTCAGTTTGGAGATCATATTCTACAAGCAACCAAATCCTACCCTATTACAATACCTTTCACTTGAACCTTTGGTTTTGGATATTTCAAAGAATAATAATAGCACAAAGTCGGAACAAGAATCAACCACCGTCAAGAACATGAAGAAGATTACAAGCACCCGAATCCGTTCATCGCGTAAAGAAAAGAGTCATGTAAATGACTTGGATCTTATATTGAATCAGGTAAGAATTTAAGGTTTGAATGATATCTCTATACATATGTTTTGTCGCTCTTAATCTCATTTGCAATTTCGATGCAAAAAGTGATGGGTTTATGTGGCTTTGTGACATAGGTCAATTCTTCGTACGAGACAGAAAAAGCAGTTCGGGCTCGATGTAAAGCTTTCCAAACCCGACGTAATCGTCGTAGCGCTAGTGTATCGGAGACAGTAAAAAAGTCGGCCGTTGGCCTAGGGATATTCTTGAAAAAAATTTTAATGTACCCGATCCTTTTTCTAGCACCTCTCATTCGTCCGACAATTGCACAGCCTATATTATTTTTTTTAGTGCTGGTCAGAGTCTTTGCAGAAATAGTGTTGTGGATACTTAATGTACGATTTCCAAATTGGCTTCTTAATGGGATTTCATTAAAAGATTTATCTGCAACTGGTAAGCGTGCTAATCATGAGGTATCTTTGCTGAATTAGCATTTTTTTTCTAACGCTCTGTTTCATGTATAGCGCAACAAATTGATTTAAGATTACAACAAGCATGCTTTTGGCCTTGGCAATTTATGTTACAACGACGGCGTGATTGGACAAATATTGCAACAACACGAGCTCAATATATAAGGTACAAATTTATTAATCATTTGCGAATATTATTCTTAATAGTTGGAATTTTAATATTTACTTGATTCTTTTATATAGTTTCCATAATAGTATGTGGCTGGTGGCAAATGATATAATAATTGGAGTGGCAATTGGATTTTTTCTAATGGATAATAATGAGGCAATGGCCAAATTAATTATGGATGATTATTTAAATGTAAGAAAATAAACCAGCGATATAATCGACAATTTTAGAATCGAAATCTAATTTGTTAATACGTGAATTTTAGCATTACACGATGGAACGGCTTGAGAAAATGATAATATGGTTAATGGGCTGGCCGGCTGGACTTAAACTTAATAGTGAACTGGATAAATTTTTGGGCGAATTATTTCTATGGCTAATTCTGTTATGGAAAGGTTAGCGAATTAATTTTTATATCAAGAAATTTATATAGAGTAATTTGGGTACAATATTCGTACTTTTAGGCTGTATAACAAATATAGAACCAATGGTTCCTATAATAATAAGGATGATTGGACTTTCGGGAATGTTGGGCGCGTCGATGGTACTTTCTTTGCTGTCGGACTTTTTGTCATTTATGACAATTCATATTTATTCATTTTATATGGTGGCTGCAAGAATTTTTAATTGGCAACTTACTATACTATACTCGCTATTTAATTTATTTCAAGGTATTCTATGATGCTTGTTACACTTAAAAATACACGATTTTATCCTTTACTTAAACAACACTAAACATATTTTCTTGTCAGGCAAGAAATGGAATACACTACGGAATCGCATAGATTCCTGTGATTATGCTCTGGATCAATTGTTATTAGGAACAATACTTTTTACACTTTTGACATTCCTATTTCCCACGATTGTGGTATATTATGCTACGTTTGCATTGGTAAGAAATTAGTCACTCTCTTCGAGATAATCAATTATGTTATTTGATATGCTAAATACGAAGAATTTCTAGAGCAGAGTAGGCGTTATTTTCTTGCAAGCTGTGATGGAGACACTTTTGGCATTTTTTAATCACTTTCCATTATTCGCTATTATGCTTCGATTTTCGGATCCCGAACGGCTACCTGGTAAAAATACTCGCCGATTATAAATAAAATGATTATATTTTTCCTCATTATTAACATTCATTTATTTATAATCCTTAAAGGCGGCCTACGATTTGAAAAATGTGATCCAGATTATTTTGCAACCTATGAGATGCCTTTAGCACGTGTATTTAAAGGCCTCAAATCTTTTTGGCCATGGACTACAATTTCCTCTAAAAAACCCGTACAGCCTCTAAACAATGATAATTCGAAAATATCTAATTCCACTTCTGACACAGCCACAACTTCAATGTCACAAATTCAGGAGGACACAAATAAAAATCAGATTATTCGTCGAAGAAAAAGTCGGGTAACAATTGCCGTCAACGGTGCTCCTTCATCACATTCAATTTTATCACAAACCTCAAATACACTTTTGCCCGCTACTCCACTATTATCATTGTCTTCAATTCCAAAAGTTAGCTATTTATTCTTACATGTAAGTGTCTAAATTTGTGTCATGTTCTTTTATACGGTATCAACAACAATAATTGGTTTAATTAATCTAATCCTATACAGAATTTACCTATACCATTGTCCGCCATATTCTTCCAATATATGTTACTTTGGAAGAGGTTGAGCTCTCATTATTTCTCGTTATACGTTTTACGTGGACTTGTTAGCGGAAAGACAATACGTCCAATTCCTAGACTTCAATATCCTATGTTACCGGAAACGAGGCAAGTTATTAAATAATTGATTGTTTTGTTGTATTCTATATTGTTATTAGAAGATATTCATTGAATTCTTAATTTTATTGTAGGCCAACCTTAATGGACTTTTGGTTATTTCTCAAACTTAGCTTTGCTGTTCAAGATGAATGAAAAAATAAAAGGTGCTAAAAATAATTAATTAAAAATGTAGAAAAAAATGTATCATCTAATTATATTTGCCAATTAAATTAGTAAGGTTATATTCAATACACGTGTGTGTCTGTGTGTATTATTGTTAACGTTAACGTTAAGGGTAATAAAGATTTTTTTTCTACTATTACAACGAAAAAATGGGTTAATCTCACGACGATGAATTTATTCCATCATTGTTCATAATGATTTCATTGTGCATCCTAAATATTTTCTTTCTACTTTTGAAAGTAATGTAGTACAATACCTAATAAAGAAAATAACCTTATTCTTATTACCACGAAAAATCTACGTTTCACAAAAGAGAAACGTCTTTTCGTTGATAAGGGCTTGGCTGGTCTTGGCTCTTTTAAATATATAAACTGTTTATTCTCCTTTTTTTATCAAAATTACGAAAAGCCTCTTAATCTTCGCCTCAAAATAATTTTAATTGTGTTTGTTTGTAAAACAATTGCTCCTCGAAGTCGTATCTAACATAAATTTCCACTTAACGCGCGTCTGCAAAATAGAATCCGTCATTGCAATTCTTCAAGAGCAAAATCAACTTGACCCATAAAAGTCTTGTAATCTATTCTGCAATTTTGCAAAGAATAAAGAAATTGTCACCTGATAAATGTCTCCCGTAGCAGCAGTACACACATTATATGCGCGTGATGCGATACAAGATCAACTGGCGCCGAATTCTACACAACGAGTTACATTATATATCATTGGGGCATATATCGTGGGCATACTAATCTTGTGGAATTTACCAATAGTGAGCACTATTCTTTATCCATTTAAGGTACAAACGTGAATCATGCTATAGTAATATTTTGGTTCAAATTCAGCTTAAAAGAAGCAAAGAATGAAAATTAATCGTTTTATTTTATATTTTTTTTTTGACAACTCTAGTTGCTAACTGTTGGTTTACATGAGGTGAGCTTTGAGTGCAATGTCTAATCATGTTGAATTTCACTAAATGCGTTTTTTAAATTATCACTTCAAGTTCAGTCATGCTGCAGCCGGTTGTTGTACAGGAGCAAAAATAGATTCAATTGAAATAGATCCTAATGAAGGGGGAGTTACGCGGATGGTATGCTAAAAATTCATGCTTCATGCTCATATAATAGATGAAAGATAATTATACTTAAAAATCGATCTCTTGCCTATAGCGTGGTGGTGTACAATGTTGGACACTACCGGCCGGATATTTAGGTTCTTCATTCATTGGTGCAATATTGATATTTTGTGGGTTTAATATACTCGCGTCACAATTTGCGTCAATATTTCTGGGATTATGCCTGTTAATAACTCTCTGGTGGGCGAGAAATTGGTTGACTCGATTCATTACCTTTTTCTTCATTGCGGTTATGGTAGGATTATGGTTTATTGAGAAAGGAGCTGGCTTGAAATATTTCGTGTTGTTTGTTGGGTAAGTTTTATTACTTGAAATTCTTTTTCTAATAATGTGTAATATTGATGAATCGCATTTTATAGTGTAATGTCGTGTCTATATTCCTTATGGGATATCATGGATGATTTAGGTAAGAAGATACTGAACATTATAGTTATCTTTTCAATAAACATCTCTTCTAAATAGGTTTTACATAATATAGTTTTCCGGAAAGTAAATGAATCAGATGCCTCAAAATTCGCTAAAACTTGTGGATGTTGTCCATCTCAAGTGTGGGGTGTCATTTGGTTATTGATTAGTTTTGTTTTCTTGGCGATAGGCGTATTGGCCGGACTTGTAGCATTTAAAGAAAATTATCAAACACAAAAAGATCAGTCGACTCACGTGTTTTAAACGCCGAAGGATTTTTTTATTTATTTGTCGAGTTGTGTTATTTTTTTGTATTTTTATTCTCCAAATGTATAATTTAATCGTCTTCCTTCCCCATGATAACTTCTTTCCGAAATTAAAGCATATCCATTGCCAATCAGTATCGCTCAGGTTCTCGAGTTTGGAATCGAATACTCATGATTTTATTAAATAATATTAGTGTCAGCGTATTTAGTTCACAGTACTCGTGATTGTAATAAAATGAATACTTCAAATATCATAAACGAATTTATAACGATGAATTGTGGAGATAAAGTTATCGACAATCTAATAAAAGTATATTAAAAAATTAATAAATTCTTCGAATTTTTGAAAGATTTACCAATGTTAAATAACCTGCAAAATTAAGACAATTTATAAAGCAGCTTGATTGGATGGAGAATTAATGGGTATTGGGATCATGAAGAAAATATATTTAACAATGTAAAAAATGATCATTTTTTAAAGTGAAATTACCTTATGTTTTCTGATACAATCAAATTTTTCAAAAACAGGTTCAAACTGTCCCTAAATGCCATAATAGTGGAACTGTTTATATTTTATTATTATAGAATAACTAAAATCGAGTTACAAATGGATACTCAAATATGGTTGCTAATGCCAGTATAAGCATTGTATACCATGTTAACTTTGAGTGATGATTCTTCTAAAACAGAGAGACATGTGAAAGTGAAACTTGTATCTGTGTAAAGTGGAGTTTCGGGCTTGCTATACGTCTGCCATACTGTTGAGACTACTAAAGTCGGAGAGAGTGTAATGCAAAGAATAAGTTCTCCAATGGCTTTTTTTTCATAGGAATAGGAAAATGTATAAGAACATGCATCAGATCGCAAAATTTTTCAATACCACATTAATGTCATGTGATCTATGCTCACATGATATAAATAAAATATCAAGTTATCATATTTTTTGTATTAATTATCTTAAATTGAAAACATTATATTATGTAATTAATATCTCTAAATTTTCAGCATATTTAATCAAGATTAGAAGTATTAGAATCAGAATTATAATCTGTTATGAAAATTTTAATATATTAGATAAATATTAATAAATTATTTTTTCAAAATAAAATTTTTAATTCTGTTTTATTTAATTAAGTCATTAAATATTAGAATTTATTTAAATATAAAAATTTTTATTATATATCTTTTAAAAAAAATTTTTTTACTAATAATAACTTTTTTTAATTATTATTTCTTAAATTTTATTAAAAATTAATATAAAATTATATAATAAATAATTTAATTATTAAACTTTGAATCTTAATATCTTTATAATTATTGATTCAATTTTTATAAAATTTAAAATATATATTTATCAAATATAGGATAATCTTCTTGCATAGTTTAAAGTTTTAATTTTATAAATTAATAGTGATAATATTTAAAATATCTTTATTTTAATTTTTTTAGTAAAGTAATATTACAAACTATATTTTAAAAGGTAAGTTTTATCATGAATATAGTTTATAATAAGTTTTGAGGGTGAAGACTGAATTATTTATAAAGATTAATAGGATAATAATTATTTTAAAGATTTTCTAATGTCAATACATACAAGTATTATATCAATACAAGATAAAAATAAAATAAAACAAAAATATAAAAATGAAGTTGTGATCATGAATACTAAACTAAGAGTTAATATCAAAAACTAAGCAATAAATGCTAAAAATCAAAATAACAAATGCCAAATGTAACAAATGTAAAAACTAGAATAACAAATGCTAAATCAAAAATAACAAATATCAAACTAGAATAATAAATGCTAAACTAATCTTTTATATATAGGAAAGCTTACAAGAACTTTCTAAATTAAATAAATATACTTGGCTTATTTTAAGTGAAGAGCATCCACTATCTAAGTTTTTCAAATAAGAAAAACTTATAAATAATCAGAATATAATCTATTACAATAAAAGAGATAAATGAAAGCAAGTTATCAAGATAATAATTAAAGAAAAATTACAAGATAAGTATAACTCAAGTATTTTCAAAAGATAATTGAATTATTGCTATTCAAGTATAT